GCCCATAAATATCGACTAAAATTCTACGACGTGCGATTGGGCACGGGTAAAACTGCATCTATTAACCGAGTGTGAAATGATGATATTATTGCTTTCGCCGTACGATCGACAGCGGTGTTCATATAATATAATAGCATTACTTTATTATTAATAGGATTTTCGTTTCATAATAATTAATAGTCAAATGAATATTAAACAGTACCCAGTACGGCGTTTTTAAACTGGATTCGTCACACTTAGGTACGGTGCGCTCGTACGCAGATTTCGGCAGTAAACTGTCGAGTGTCTCACGGCGCCGCGTGGCCGTCAATATTTGTACAGACAACCAATAATAATTGTTGTGTAAATATTTTAAGAGTTGAATCACCGATTTCCGTCGATTATTTAAATGGTTAGGTAAGTTTTTAAGTTTAAATGCAAGATAGGTGGGTGAGTGGTCCTGTATTATATGTACATACAATTAAGCACGCGTATAATATATTGTATAGTAAGCGAGCGTGTGTATTAGGTACCTACTCTCTCTTTAATTTTCAGTTCTGCAAAATGTCATGTAGGTACGTATATACAAGAAAAAGGTGATACCATAATAGTATCATAAACTATTATGCACCAAGAATACGATTAAACTGAAATCAACATAACTATGTCAAGATCGAAGTAATATTACGAGTTAAAAGTTTGAATTACGAATTGAACTCAAACTTCTTTTTCTCTTTTATGTATGATAGGTACGAACGATTTAGTGCTTGAGTTTGTAATCAGAAAGTGTTTTTTTTTTTTTAGAACCAAGTCTGAGTTGAATGAGAAAAAAAGTTTAAAAAGTCAATTCGATCAGACATTTTGGTTTTTTAAACATTTATTTGAAAAAATATAATGTCGTTAAATAACTCGAGTTTTCTTGTCAATAAACTATACATAATCATAATTAGATTAAGTCGATGATCAATTATGGTTGTTTTATACGTATATGTATCTACTATGCAATGAGCCGATGAGAAGGTCCATCCCTATGTCTATTACTCGTGTTAAAAAACCTAAGCCTCCCCTCAAAATGTTAGAAGTAATATTAGCAGACGTTAATTGTTTTTTAACCGTTTATGTGCTGGATAAAAAATTGAAATTTTTTTTAACACGCAATTTTAAAGGTACCCATATTACATAGTATAAAAATATATAATACCTAATTGAATTCGTCAAGGTTTTTTATTACTCGAGGTATACTTTCATGAAACTTTTAAAACTACATTTGCACTAAACTCTCGACGATAACCCATTTCATAGGTGCCTATTACAAATATACAACATACGATTTTAATTAGCTTATAATTACAACACAACAGAACATTTTCTGCATTTAATTTGTATTAACGCATTCAGCATTTCAGCACTATTGTAAAGAATTATTGAAACCAAGTTATTCATTATTATATGATATCTATAATAATTACAGCACGCATTCAAATAATATACCTTCTATATGTTATATAAACTTTTATAATTTTATTAGTAATCCTGCACAACTTGTTTTTATTTGATCATCTTAAATAATAATAATATTATATGAACACAGAAATTATACATCAAAAAATACCTAGTACAAAAACAAGATTGATTAAACGACAATATTGTATAAGCATACTGCAATTTCTACAAAATATTACTAAAACAATATTTGTATTTGAATTAAACGTGAGAAAATGTATCTTTTCTCGAATAATCATCGTATTAAATTGTAAACAAAATACATCGTAATATATAGGTATAAAGCTGATTACAGTCATAATTATTTGATGGTTTACAATTATTAGTCTTTTGTATTAAGTAAATCGCCAACTCGTTGCAAAAAATATATGTAATTTTATTTCAGGATATGGTTATTAATAAATAATAAATAAAAAATTCAAAAATGCAATTCATTATTTCGAAATTTCTAAAGAGACTAAACGAATTACCTTAAAAAAATCTTCGGTACAATAATTGAGTGGGGTTAAATCAAAAACTTATGATATTATGCAGCTTAAAACACGACTAACACTTTCAAACAACACTCATACGTTTAATTACAATATTATGTTTGTGTTTTAGGTAAAACTTCGTTGCATGCGGTACTAGACTACGACGAGGAAGAAGAGGAATCGTTAGATTATTACGAAGAGACGTACAGTCACAGTGGAGTGACGCCAATTCAGGGTCCTATATTTTTAAGAAATGGTTCGGTGCCGGTTGTACCGTTGTACGGTTACCAAAAAGTGAGCAACGGATCTCTACTGCAGATACCGGTAAGTAGTGTTCATTTAATCCATCACCTACAGCAGGTAGTATACTTATAATAATGTACCGTGGCCCATAGTCATAGGCGTAAACTTGGGACATTCCTAGGCTTTAAGTATATAGATCTAAAAAATTATTTTATAAACTTGTGAATTAAAACGTTTGCACGTAGGTAATTGAATTGGACTGAACCCAACGAATTTATATTATATCTACGAAATAATAACACGCATGATGAGTGGGTACATTAAATTACTACTATCTAATTATATAATATATTTTTGAAAAGATTATAGTAGATATTATATATATATATATATATATAAACTTGAACTATTAAATAACGAATTACGATCATAAAAACATACATTGTAATAAATATTAAACTCGTTATTAGTAAAAATTGCCTTTTTAGTTTGAGAAAAAAGTTTTTAATACAAAAAAAAACGCAAGTTTAAAGCTTACAAATATTTTCTTTTCAAACATTGAAATAAGACAAAAATATTTATTAATTCACATAAAGTTATCCTCGTATATAAAATTCTAAAATAAGATCGAATAACATAATTTATCTATTTTTTAGAAATCGTAAAACTTACAAGTTTGCATAAAAAAAAAACTTTAAATATTTTTGATTATTATTTCATCCCGTCAAATCAACTAAGAAAATAAACCCTAACTTACACATATAAAACGTGTACTATAATTAATTAATGTTAGATACCAGTTTTTGACTCCAGGGTTGTTGGGATATTTAGATAATATTCTTAATTTTTTTTAAAGGTATTATTTAGTATAAATAATAAAGTTGTCATTGACTGTATTCCGTAAACATATTAAAAGTCATTACTCATTACACATATTGTTATTAAATACGATGCTTCACACTTTTGATAGTAATTATTACAAGTTCTATGGTAATCATGACCTAGTTCAACATTAATAATTGTGCTACTGGGTATTAAGAAAATTAAAACATCGTAAATACCAATACCCCAGAGAGTGACAGTTACATGAAATGTTCATGAAAAAATTGCATAATGATCGCGCAAGGACGTCCGCGACTAAGCAGGGGTAACGTGTTTTTAAAATGTTTTGGACAGTTTTGGAAATACAACCGCGTGGACCGTGGTTATCTTTCTTATAACAACACATAAAATACAGTGAAAGTAGTCCAGACACAATTATAATGTATTCACCAGGTAGAGTTCCACGCGCCATTTGTCTAATTTAAACATTGCACTAAACGTATTATTATAATTGTACTTATAAATTATTATAATTCCAACGCATGTGTCATATATGTAGACACTATGCGTATACCTACGCACGACACTGGATAAATTCCAAAACTGTAAGGCGTATTCAAATTTTTAATCAAAAAAAATAAAGTATATGTTATTTGACCTAACTAAAATATAAATAAAGCATAACCATCATTGAATTATTTTTTTTTTAACACGAAGATTAATAAAAAAAATATCAAATATATTAAATGGTTATTATTAGTAATTAATCAAACATTAATTTATATTTAATAAAATTTATTAACCTAATTACAGTGTTCTAAATCATGCGTACAATCATTACAATTTGAAAATCAATTATTTTTATTGCATAGAAATAATTTAATATTTGTAATAATAATAATAATAAAACACTGAGTAATGACATTTTTATTGATTGCTAGACGGTCTACATTTTATTAAGAAAATAGATTAATAGATGATGATAAAAATTATTTTATTTTTTTACTAACGCAATAACACTTAGACTTAATTCATCTTTCTATCTTTAGTAATCTATGGTATATCTTAATAAAATACTCAACATAAATAATTTCAATTTCTATATAATCGTTTTTATTTTTAACAATTAAATATCAAATAATATAATTAAGAAAATAAATCATATTTTTTTTAAGTTAAAATATAAATTTTTTTACTAATTGTATACCACCTGTTGTACCCATAATATATAAGTAAAGTGCCTTATCTGATACTAAAAGAAATTCAAATAATTGTTTGATTTATTTGATTTTTGTGTTTAAATTTTAAAAAATGTCCAAACTATTTTTTAATTCCATTTTGCTTTCAAATTTAAAATTACACAAAGAGCTACAATAGCGAATAACTACATGTTACTAATATTAATATTTTCAAATATATTTATGACCATCGATCGTGTATTTGAATGAGTTTTCAAATATTTTACTTTTTTATCATTATCAATGTGTTTTTAAAAGAATTATATTGTTAAATTGTTATGGTAGTGATAAGTACAGGACGAAAAAAAATAGGTGACCATATTATTCATAGATATTCTTAATAAGAAGTTCCACACGAAACTTTACCTCATACACAATGCCAATAAACAAATAAAATAAATATAATTGCTTTTACATATCTAATCAATTTAGTCATGATTTACACATGTACATTGTAATTTCTAATCAGTGTACTATAATTTATAGGTATGTATATAATATTGTATTGTCACATTAACTTGACAATTATTTTTATTAAATTAATTCCTTAAATAAAAAATTTGATCTCATGAAAAAGTTTAAAAATGATAATGTATAATAAATAAATAATTTTAAGAGAGAAAAATATTTTAATTTAAGACTGGAAAAATTAAAAGGTTTTTTAAATAAAATTTATTATTTTTTGTCATTTAGTTTTTTAAATCGAAAACCTTTTTGAATACAAATGTATTAGAAAAGAAAGGGAGAAAATAATATTAAATTACATAATTTCTGACAAACGTACTTACATAAAATAGATACGTATGTGCAAATGTTTAAAATAATTAATATCTACACGTATAGTATATAATATGTACATAGTATTAAGTAAATCAATTAGCTTACATCAATTGCGTGTTACTTAAAGTTACATAATAATTATTTAACGGTAAAACCTGACTACTAGAGTAAAAATTTTACAACTTTTAATAGGGATTTACGTTTTTTTACTTAAGCATTAGCGCCTAAATATATATTTTTATATGTTATCTAAGAATATCGATTTATAGTCGGTTTTAAAATGCTATGGTTTGGTTTTGGTGACAAATTCAGACTTAAAATGTGTCAACTATAAATACAGATTAAAATGTAATTCATATATCTATGTATCCAATATTATGTCGTTGAGTTCGATCACGGGATAGCCAGCTCTTCCCTCATACCATTCATGTTAATTGTATATATTTCTTCACTATATTTTATTATTATGTAAAAATTAATGGCTATAAAATAATTAAATCTATATAGCATAACAATAATAACTACGATCTAATTAAGAAGATAGTTGAAACGAGAGACATAATACAAACAATGAATAGGTAGTCAGGCTGTGACAATTTTATTAATCATCACATCTATAAATAATATAGACGAATTAACATGTTGAATTGTTGGGCCTCAGCCCATAGATCTAATTAAAAGGTTGTTTTTAATTTATTATAACTAAATATGTTATAAAAATAATGAAAAATTAGTCAAAAGTAAAAAAAATTTTGCATTTTACGGTTTTCTATACAAAAATTGAAAAATGTATTCTGGTCATTGTTTCATAAGTTCAGGAAAAAATAATCCCTGGGAAAAATAGTTTCACAGATTATTGAATTTTATTCTACAGCTAGAGCCAGTTTAAAACTAGTAACATTAGTGAGATACCTACCTATAAATTAAAATATCATAAAATACCAACATACAATCACAGATAACGATTCTCATGTTTCGCCTTTAAATTTGATTCTAAGAAAACACATTTAAGTCTAACCATAAAAATTGATTCTACTTTCTACTGTCGGGCAAATCGAAATCATTGTCTAATATAACTTTACAAAAACACAAAATCTTATAATTTATTTGCTGAACGTTCTCTGAACATTAATCATCAATATTTTAATATTTTAATACATATTTAACTAATAAATATAAAAGCAATTTAACTGTTACCTAATAAATGCATTTGAAAAAATTCTTAAATTAAATGTAAACCCTAATTATTTTAATTGGTACAAAACAAAACAATAAAAATGGTAAGTTCAAACAATGATTTAAATTCTTCTTAAATTTTGCGATTGTTATTATTATTATTTATGGTGATGATTATCATTAGTGCATAAAAATTATCTATCCATTTTTACTCAATGGTTTTTTCTATCAAATTAGAAATAAACGTCATTCCTTTTTATCATTTATATTAATAAATTATAGGTAATTACATTTTGAGAATTAATTTACATTAATAAATTACGATAATAACTATCAATACGTAATATGTATCATTACATAATATGTAATTATGTAAATATGAAATAATACATTTAAGTAATACAATGGTAAAACGAATAAATTTCTAAAAATCAACAGTAGATACTAATCGGTAAATTACAAATATTAAATAAATATTATGAAAAATAATATTTAGGTATATAACAATTTAAAGTATATTACTATATTTTTAATTTTTTCAATATAAAACAAGGAATGTATGCCATTCAACATACTAAAAAATATTCAAGAAAGTTGATAAGTAGAAGTAGAACTAATTATTATTAGAACATGGGTTCTAATAAAAATTATAATAAAAATAAAAAATTCAAAATATATAAATATTTATGTTCTTATTTTTGCTAAAATATGTATTAAAATTCATTAGTATATTACATACGTTTTTTAAATTTTTTAATTTAGTCAGTGTGGGAGATATCATCTTTTATTAATGTACGGTATAAATCAGTAATTAAAAATTGACTTACCTACAGTTCGAAGATGCTGACTCGGAAGTGACAAAATACTGAGTAAATTGTATTTTTCTTCTTTATTTTCTTTGTTGTTATTTTTCTATTGTATTTATATACTGAGTTAGTAAATAACGTAGTAAACAAGATATAAATTTTCCACGACTTATACAAAATGACACATGGCCATCACTTTTGAAAGTTTCATAATGAAATTCTAAAAGGTACTAACCAACTTTAACATTTTTATTCACAGTAATTTTGGCACAACTTTAATCGAAAAAAATTCACTAACTAACGAAACCAATTGTACGTAATTAAGTGTATACTGCATAGGTACCTATTAGAAACTAGACTAGACTGTCTAGACTGTGTAAACTTTTCCGATATAGCATCATCAAAAACCAGATCTATCTTATCTTATTTATAACAACGTCGTCTAATAATGCATATCTATTAATATTAAAATTCAACAAAATTTCCAACATAACAATGATAATTTTCAATATTTCTTAAAACTTTGAAGGTACCTACGGATAAAAATACAAAATATTATGTACTTATTGGTAAAATATTTAAAAACACGTATTTAAAATAAAAAAGCGCTAATTTACGGTGTAATGAAACGTACTTATTTTTAATTAGAATTAAGAAAACTGCATTCAATAAAATTACGTATTTGCACAAAAATCCGCGCCCTGGTTATTGTACTATAATATTCAATAAGTACCAACTTAAATAAAATTCATTACCAAAATGTAAAAACTCATAGATTATTACCGCGGTTGATAATCATTAGTTTACTTGGAAAAAAAAACACCTGGAATTAGGATTAAAAGTTATTTAAAACCAAATGTAATTTGAAAGTTTTTTTTTTTTATTTCCTTATTTATATTATATTTTCTATGACCAAAAAAAAAATTGTTATTTTTTCCCATTTAGCAGATGAGCCGAGTATTAGCAGAAAACAAAAAAGTAAACTTTAGTGAAATCGAATGGCATCAACTAATGTGACAGTAAAACTATGGGTTTGTAAAATAATTACTTTTACAATCGTGGATAAGCAATAATGCATTACACCAATAATTAAATAAGTATACAATTTTCGAGAGCATATTGGTTTTTAATAGATAGTATCTATAGGTATTTATTTAACCTCGATCAAGCGGCATGACATTACCACACTGTGTTTTATGTGAACATTCCAATATTATCAACTCGAATTATATGAACATTTTTATCCAATATGTACATAATAATGGCCTTGTTAAAATTTAGGTACCTACTTATTTAAGTCAACAAATTTCGTTGGGTAGGTAATAAAATAAATACCTATGTGTTTATTTGTTATTTTACTATGGTCGGTGAAATAATACGAACTTATAGGAACTCAAATTATATTCCGTTGTAAAAAAACTTCAAGTCATATGACGATAGTTTCAAAACTTTTTTTGTTTACGGAAATATTTAAAAAAAACCCACAATGTCCAAAAAACCTGAAATGCTAATTTTAAACTAAAAAATATATATAAATCATGATGATCATTACAATGTAATTTACAATTTTGAATGTACATACCTTACATACCTAGTACATCCATAGAATTTACTTCTATGCAAAATACAGTTCCCCAACCACTGGTCTAAGAACACATAAGTACGATTCCTTTTTAAATTAATATATATTTATTTTTTTTTTATAAAAATAATTCTTATTTCTTTTCACTTTCTTTAGTCACTCTATTCTCACGATTTAAGAACTAATAGAAAAATTAATTTCACGTATGTAATTATATTAGAGGTACAATAATTTACTTAAGTAATTTCATAAAACTAAAAATATTTAATTATTTATTTATAATTAGTAACACAAACAAAAAATTTTTGTTTATAGGTATTTAGAGGTATTTGGTAGTTTGGCACTGTAATGGGTGCATTAAATTTGAATTGAATAATAAATCATTAAATACGGTGAAAACGATGAAAACCCATTCTGCATAAGAAACATTGAGTAACCAAAATTACTAAAACAATTATTTCAATAATGATACTAAGATATTAACAACTTTCCGTACCTATCGTATTTTATTTTTTTTTTCTATTATTTTAAAGATCACTAATAATTTTATTTTTTTATTTCATAAAGATACAAACTAGATTCAATTCATAACTAAATTCCTTTATTTAAGTTGATAATCAGAGCATTTTTCTCTAAAAAAAGTCTTTAGAATGTGTTTTTTTATTAATATATTTTTAAATAATTTAAATCTGTATAGCCAAATTATTAATTACATAAAATAATGTATCTATAAACTATAAAAAATAATTTGAGCAATTTTATTAATTATATAAGTACAATGATATTATGAAGGTTTGTATTTCAATGAAATCCTAAAAGAGGAAATATGTATATAATTATCATCATACGAACCTTAAGATACCTACATCTATATATATAATAAATCAAATAATGTATTAATCACTACTTATTATTAATTATTTATATAGTTATACTTTTAGACTAAAATGCTAATATTCAAAATTTTAAATTGATTTATTTTCCGCTTGATTATCTTACATGTAATATTAGAATCAGTTATGAAATATATTATTTACACTATACGAAATGTACATTGTACATATTTATATAATATACACGTTTTTACCATGTCGTCCGTAACCTACCATCATTGAAGATATATTTATTTATTTTTTAAGATTAACCAATTAATTTGTGTGTTTTCAAAATATAATTTTATAATTTTTATTTATTTATATATAATTCGTGTCTGTATAAACATATGATCTATAATTATGTTTGAATGAAAAGTAGAAAAAATATTTGTATAATAATTATTTTAAATAATTTTATATTACTTACAGGTATTTTGGACTGCTCTTTCGTTTGCTTTAGGATATGAAATTGGTGGAGATCTGATTCGTGGAACTCCGTGTATTAAACGAAACCACCAATTGTTTTGTCCGACAGCAGGAAAAAGTTACCCAGTGTAAGTAAGTAGTAGCTAAACTACCCTCGTGATTTATATACATATATTATTATTATTATTTCGGTTTCAGTAAAAAAATAGGTATTTATTTTCAAGAATACTATTATATTATAATAGACATATTTTTGAATAAGTACAGGGACGGATTTAACAATTTTCCACCTTAATTTAAAAAAAAATCCCTCTATAAAACAAAATTTCCTTTCATAATAACAATTTCTATGTATGCAATTATTTTTTCATTTAACTAAAGTTCAATAAAAACGTTTTAATTTAAATATAATATTTTCTCTTTATTTCTATTATACAAGAAAAAATAATAATAAATTTATTAAATAATTATTTAGTTATATAAATAGTTTAATTTTGAAAAATCAAAGAAAAAAATCAAGTATTTTTCCATTCAAGAACAAAATAAATATTAAATACAATTTTGTTGCGTATAAAAAGCCGCTTTCCAAAAATTTGCCGCCCTATGCAGCTGCATAGTTCGCAGCGCCTTAAATCCGCCCCTAAATAGGTATATTATTAGATAATTCATATTATGATCACACGAATGGTACAATAATATACGTGTATTATCTTTAGTAAATGTTTTTTCTCTCCTCTACAACAAATCAATAACATTCAGGATACTTAAAATATCAAAACTATTTGACATGGATTAGTTGAACACAGAAGATAAATAGGTACATAATTTTACTATACTCACGAATCACGGACTATGACATCAGCGTCCGTGATTTAAGTCTACTTATAAGTTCTATAATACAGAGATTAGAACCCGGAGCAAACGGTTTAAATATTTTATGTTAGATAAATTTGCTTACCTTAAAAAAACATTTGATTTCAAAAGTTACCAAGTGTATAATTATAAAATGTTAGTACTATCGTTTTTTTTTTTTGTTAAACTCAGAGACCGAATCGACAGATTTATCGATGAAAATAAAGCACTCATGAAACGAATGTATGGAGATTTTGAAATGATGGAGAATGGCCCGTTCCCTAAGGCAAAAAGATCAACAGCTCGAAAAAGAAGACAAGACTCTAGTTTTTCGGATGATCAATCGAAACCGAATAAGCTACCGACCAGAGGTCAGCCGGCAGATTCTGGAAGGTACTACCTTTAAAACCTTTATAATACATATTAAATTATATATTTGCATATACTGTTTACAGTGTTTTTTTTGTTATCATCTACTTATATATTAATTTATATATTAAGTATACCTAAATATAGACTACTATGCAAATGAGTCATTAAGTGATAGATAGGTATTACCAATATGTTTAATACAATACTATCATTATTATTACAATCGCCTACCTATATTTCTATAAACATCAAGTATTCAATTAATATATTCAATGAACCACTGTACCCGTGCATACATAATAAAACATAAGTATACACCTAATAACCCTTGACAAAACCAAAATTCGGGAGTGTCGCGAAGGCCCATATGGCCATATAATAAATGTACCTACTACCTATTAACATTAATAGATTAAACAAACATAAGTTTAGTATACAAAATAGTCAGAAGTTCATGATTATACATTGATGTAGGTATCTACCTAATAAGGAATTCTCTATAGCCGGACGGCGGACTATAGGTTTGATTTGATAATCTTTTGAATGCAGAGATACCCTGAAGTAATGTTTTCAACTGGATCGTCTGATCTAACCATGTCAATAACTCAGCAATCAGCATATTATAATATTATTGTTATTATTTCTTCATTCTGTATTAATTGTTTTCATAACATATTTTCATAATTCATAATATTAATATAATTATGAACACGAGTAACCACAAATAATAGGTTTTTGTTTATTCGTTCAATTGGCTGATTAGCTTAAAGCGAATACTATTCAAGGTGTACAACGTTCAGTAAATGGTTTTTTGTCATCAACCTGTGGTGGCCCTAGGGCGAATCAATTGGGATATCTATCCTAAGCTACATTTTTAAGGCACTACAACTCGCCACTATCAAATTTATAATTATCTTAGCATACGACAAAAGTATCGATATTTATTTAAAACTGTTAAAACTAAATCGATCTATGATCAATTATAATATTATAAGTAATGTATAACTAACATCGTGTAATAATATTTATCATTTAATAAAATAATTAACATTAAGATTTCAAATAAAATAGTAACTAATATTAATATTCTATTTTTTTTTTTTTTTTTTTTATTAATATTTTATAAAACCTTAAACGGTATTTACCTAATAGACATGTCTATTTGAACATATAATAAAACAGTAATAAATTACTAATTTACTAGCTTATAAAATAGACGTGTTCTACTTATTTTGTACTTATTGAAAAAGAAGCTAAAAAATATTTATTTTGTCCAGGGTCTCGCCATAAGTCTGCATATTTTATTAAAAAAAGTTTACACAATTAACGTACGAGACGTTCAACTATTTTTAATAATAATTTATTATTCATTATAGTTCTAAATAATATTAATACCTGTGTTCTGTTCCTATACTTAAGTAATATAATAAAAATCATATTATAATGCAATAACATAGTAATTAATAAAATTCCATAGGATGAAATATTTGTGTATGATAATACCTACTTATCTACTGAATATACAAAGCCATTTAAGTTTTATAGAATGCATCTACAATTTTGTACATGAAAATATAGTCTAAAATAATAATAAAATGCATATTTGCTCAATGTTTTATCTAATAGGTACATTTCTTAAAACGCCAAACTTTATAAATACTTAGAGATTAGTTTACTTATGTAGGTACCTAAATAGAATTATTTATCAATTGAATTCGTTAAATTTTCGTCATAGTTACAAGCATAAATTTATTTGTTTTCAAAAAAAAAAAGAAAAACATTCTTGAAACATTGTATAAGCGTAATATTTTAATTATAACTTTTGAAATTGTTTAAATAAAATACATATCGTGTAATTATTACATAATATTATGACTACCTGTTTTGTCGAAAAACATTTGAATTTTTGATAAATTCGAGGCTCGCCTATCCCACAGGTACTTAAATGGATTCTTAAGTATTAGGTTTGCTGTCCGGATATCTAAATAACGTCAAAAGTTAATAATAAGGTCAAATATATTACTTTAAAATATAGGACAATAACTAATGACGTAACTAAAAGGGATCAGAGTGTGCGGGCAGTGGGTACACCCGATCCCGTTCATTTAGGGGGGCTTAGGTAATAAAATATTTTTCTTTTAATAATAATCACGCATACCACTGTCAAACTTTTTCAAATATACGTATTAATGTATTATTCTAAGTTGTATAGATTGTATATAAGAATATTTATTATAAAATTTAAAAAAAAAATTTATAATTTACAATAAACTAATAAATTATAATTTTTTTTTTTTTACAATTTTGAATTAATTAAACATATAATAATATTTTTATAACATTTATAAAATAATATAAATTAAATTAATTTTACCCTCTTTTAATCAGTTCTCCATATTTACTACCTGGGTGAGGAAGACCGTTGAAAAATTCGTTCTCGGGACCAAATTTTTAAGTTACACCATTGACAACAAGTCAATAACTGCTTACATATTTTATCTTGATTACAATACATATAATACCTTATATTGATGTTTAATTTTACAGGATAGACTCTTGTGAATCTAAAGTAGAAGTGGTCACTCCGTATTGGGCCTCGAACAGCGTGGGTAAGACCAGAGCGATTGTTAACACCGAACACTTCGAACAAGCTATTCATCAAGAAGTCTGCACGTGAGTCGATAACCACAAATTAAAATAACTAATTCATGAACCTATATCTACATAAAAACCTATAAATATTTTAACATAAGACTTATTTGCTCATTAAATTGTGAAATTTTTACAACTACAAAAATTTTTTGCACAGTATTATTGATATTAATTAATATTTATCAATAACTTAACTCTAAAAAAACCTCTTAATTTATGAACCTAAGTATGTATTAATATAGGACATATAGGTACCTACGTTCCCGTATACAATCGACAACCACTAACCGTAACATACCTTAATGTGTAGCCGTGTAGGCACTTATTTATTAAATTTATTCTAAACAAGGCTCGAGCAAAAATTGCAATAGATAACGAATTTAACACTTTTTTATTATTACAGAAAGACACTGACGGGACGCTGTTCAGGAGACTGTGGATGCGAACAAAAGTATAAATGGCACAGGTTGTTAGCGTACGATCCCGACAACGACTGTAAAGGGATATTCATGGATTGGTTTTTGTTTCCATCTTGCTGTGTGTGTCGATGCGATTCGACAACCCCAAACAATGTTTAGCGAAAATCGTCATTGTTCGCGTCTGTCAACTTTGTACTTATTATTATATATTTTATACATATTACATATAAATAGATATATATTTATTATCCTTTAGTATAACTGCTTAGGAAGAATACCTACGCTTATATTATAACGTTTCGTATACATATATTTATATATTCAGTGCCTATATTTAATAGAATATTATGCTTAACTACGTACCTATACGTCTGTGAAATTGTCATACACGCATGTTCAAGATATTTTTGTTTGATCATGGGAGTTATAAAATTTAAATTTATAATATTTTATTAGTACCTACTGCCTAGGTATATAATATTATTATAACGTGTTGTTAACTTGTGTAATGTTATTTTTACTGCAGAATCCATATATTTTTATTTCTTAATAACAGTTTTATAAACATGAATTATTAATGATTAATCTATACATGTTAGAAAGGTACCTACTTACCTACTTTTATATTTCTCTATACCTACCAAATACGCGAACACGTGTTTTAAATCGTACAATTTTAAATACTAAAGAATGTTTTCATTAAAAAAATATATCAAACGGAATTCTAGTTAAATGTTTATAAAAATTGACAATGTACCTATATTTAAAGATGCTTACGTCTGTATGAAAATAATTTAATGTTATAATAATTTGAATATACCTACATAAAATACATATAATATATTACATAAACTATTATCTTATTTGTTATTTGTTAACTCTTTAATCTGTTGTATAGTATTTAATGTGTACCTATCTATCGTACATACCATTAGCCATTAGGCGTATAATATGTAATAGTGATTTTTTCACAAGTTTAGGCATAACATTAGTAGGTACCTAATGATAATAACTATTTTAAATACGTCTAGCCAGATGTCAATGAACTTTTATATGAAATCTTAGGTCTCGCCTAAAAATGTTATCTATGCTTCGCTCCACCTTAACCAGGCTCTGCAATATTGTTAACGAGTGTTTGACTGTTCAGTCTTATTTTATTTAATGCAATTCATTGATACGTTTTTAATAAATAGGTCATTCGTTCCCCATGAATTTTAAATTCTAATGAATCTCGTACCTATCATTCTTTCAACTATTCTAACCGTTAAAATAATAACTTATTACATAAATCTTATATTAAAATTAAAAATACAGTTCCTTCTAAAAATATTAAGACTGAGTAATTTTAAGTTAATTAAACATTTGAAATATTTGAATAATTTTAATGTGTTTTTAATATTGATAAAATTTCACGTCTTAGTCCAAAAATAGAAAATTTAATGCGAGATCCCGCTTAAGTTCTTATAAAAAATTGAAAAATAACAAAGCACTGCACACGTAGGAACAATTTATTTACATAAGTATTTAAGTAAATTTTAAACACCTCTATACCCAGATTCCTGAACATATTATAAAAACATTCTACCTACTGTACCTCCATACATCGTTATTGACATAAATAATAGGTACCTAGGTACCTACGTACTATAAAGTACCTATAGGTACATCACTGTAAAATAAATACGTTCATCGCAATATTGCACCACTCAAACCTCGAAATATATGTTCCTACGTATAACTGTAATGTAATTATTGAACCTGGAATACTTGTAGCCAATATTTTTAATGATTTATTTTTTAATATTGTTGAAAAATATACTTACCGGATGAAATGTGTCATAAATAATAAGATACTATTGCTGTGAATAGTGTATAACTGTCTATACCTTTAAGGCTCTAAATACTTAATAGTTTTTTTTAATTTTTCTGTATCGCTAAGTTTTATGAGCCGTTTACTGATACAGTTGTGCTCACAATGTTCAAATAATTGTTTATTTAATTTTCCATAAAACTAAAATAACATTTAATAATGACATAACTATTAACCATACTGGCTGATATAATGGGTCCAATGGTTATTTTTTCAATAATTTTCTAATATAGTGGTCTGTGGAAAAATAAAATCTTAGTCAATGATGAAATAAACAAGTATATGATCATAACTTTAGGGTACTTAGAGGTATGCAATAATAAGAAAAAAGGTGAATTTTATAATATAACATACCAGTGTTACTTCATCATTAATTTACTTGTGATGAAAAAGTTCTTTAAAATATCAATGTTATTATTACATTTGCACTAATAAAAACATATACAACTCACAAGCCAAGAGTTGCTATATGTGGTTTTATTTATATTACTTACACATTATGCAAGTATTGTGTTAACCTTTATTTTATGATATTGCAATGCTAAATAGTAAATTCAGATAGTGGAGAATTTTAATAGAATATGGGTAGAATCCACTATATTTTTAGATTGGGACTTTGGTTTATTTTTATATATTTATAAAATTAGCATTAAATAAAAAATTAAAATTAATATTGGCGTAAAGAAAATTGTGTAGATATATAATGATCAAAATTTAGAAACACAACTATACTGAGTATAGTTCTCTTATTATATAATTATTAAATTAATTTTGATTTAAAGTTTATCTATATCTACTATTAACACTATTATTTTAAAAGACTCAATACAAATACATAAAAATAAAAAACGTATTAACTAATTCAACAAATAAAGTAACCAAATAGTCATGTTTTTTATATGTGGATTTTTACTAGACTAAAAATTACCAAAAAATTCTAGTCAGTAATATATTTTTTTTTTTTTTGTACTCAAGCGATTTAGTAGCATTCATACTATGATTTATGTAAACTAAGGGTGAATAAAATGAAATAATATACCGTGAATTAAGTCCTCAACATATTATGACACTATTTTATAGATAATATACATTATAAATTATAATATAGTTTGTATTAATTCAGAAAGGAAATACTTAGTTTACCATCAAGAAAAAAAAAATTAATTAATACATTTTAAGCAAATATTCTGTGGAAAGCATTACTTAGTATATCCTTGAATATTTCATAAGATGGATGGTATGCATAGTTTATGCTATAATAATAAGTAAATAAATAAATAAAAATTATAAAAAGCAATAAACAATAAAATTTGTAAATAGTTTATAATAATTATTTATATAGTTTAGTGTTTTATTAACACCAACAAAGCTATTTCTACAATAAATAATTGTGCATAATAATAAATAATATTATTTTAAATTCCCTAACATTGATTACATACCTAGCATAATATGATAAAAATGGTAAAATAGTATAGAAAAAACAAAAAAAAATCACCTCTTAAAGATTTAATTACCTATAAAACTATCAATAAATTGCATAACTCATTGCATTTCATAATTTTTACAGGTAATTAAATTGTTATAAGATGTATTTTTATTCAATAGCATTTTTTACCAAATAATGCTAGATATTAAATAAATGTTTCACAAATTATTATTTATTGTAATACCAGCTTTAACATTGGTCATTGTTAATAAAATATAAAAATATATTAATAATTAATATAAACACTGCAAATATATGTATAAAAATATTTCACTCCAAATAAGAAATTGAAACTTTAGATTCTTTAGAATAACAAATAATATTTCAATTTTATTTCAAAACAATTACTTAATTAAAATGTAGGAAAACTAAGTAAATACTAAATATTAAAATACCCTTTTTATTTTTACAATTGTATAAACTCATTTTATTTTATCTATAAACATACCTACAAAAAATGTATATATAAAAAATAAAAACAAATCAAACAAAATGTTTATATATTAAACTCGTAAAAACTTTTTTAAGAAGTACACAAAGTATGTAAAATTGAATAACAATACTTACTTTCCCAAATCACTGGTTTTTTTTTTTTGTTTATATTAAACCTAAAATAATTATTATGTGTTAATAAAGAAACACCGAATAATACACTATTTACTATTATAAAAATGTTACAATTTCAGATCATTTTATTAGAATTATAGTAACTAAAATTATTGAGAAAATGGAAAACTTTATGATTTTGTACGTTTAACATTTTGAAGACATCAAACAATAAATTTCAAAATTGGAATGATTCAAACAAATATTACTCTGTCTTTATTGGCTGAACTTGAACAACGTAAAAATATATTTTCTACCATTTTGAAAACTTCATCAGAACTTTTAGAGGCATCAACTTTAGTATGAATTCCTAAAACAACATTTTAATTAAAACACTTATTTTCAATTACAGCTAATAATTTTCACAAACCTTTTTTCTGATAATAATCTATTAATGGGGTTGTTTGTTTATGATATGATTCAAGACGCTTTTTTAAAGCATCCACATTATCATCAGCACGGCGAATCAATGACTCACCACTTATCTAGAAATTACAGACAGAGATTTAGAAACTATAATATAATTATATTTGATTAAAATATAAAAATTAAAATTAAATTAATAAAATATTATATCAGAATTAAAGATAAAGCTTACATCATCTTTCATATAAACTTTTGGAGGATGGAATTCTTCATGATAAGATCGGCCACTAGCAGGGTGTATCAAACGCCCTGTTATACGGCGTACCAATAAACTGTCACTTATGTTAAACTCGATCACAGAGTCTAGCTGTGTTTTCCGTTTTTCTAAAAGATTATCCAGCTGAAAATAGAATTAAATGTATTAGGTACTAAAATTATTGAAAATAATTATATTTTTTTATTTTACTTTTTCAGCTTGAGGTACTGTTCGTGGGAAACCATCCAATAAGAATCCTTGTCTACACTCTGGTCTATCTAAATTTTGATCAATCAAATCAACAACAAGATCATCACTAACAAGATTGCCTAAAATTCAAAAATAAATAAAATAAAATTATTATTTACTTCTAAAGATATTAAATAATAAAAACTAAGAATAATATAAATTAAATATTTCATGTACAATACATTGTATACAACTTAATTTAAAATATTTAATAAGCAAAGCATTAAACAATTTTATTTAAAAATTTAGCTGTTTAAAATTTATGTTTTTTTTTATTGCATGAAATTGTAAAAGACTAAATTTATTACCTAAGAAATACAATAATATAATAAGTATAAAAAATTTTAAAAAATATTTAATATTATAACAAATACATAGACGTCATTAAATATCTTTGAGGAGAACAGACGGCACCCATTAATGACATTTTCAACTAAATTTTTATATACAGTATATCAAAGCAATGTACATACCAGGTCATGACTACCAGTTTATTAATTATATAATTTGCAAATTTTATTGTTGATGCTTAAAAATTTAATACAATATTCTTCAAAAATATTTAAAATTAAACCAAAACAACTAAAATAAATAAAAACACAATTTATTTCAGGAATTTTAAGTTAAAATGATGACTTTTAAACTATGAGTAATAATATTTATGATTTTATTATAGTTCAAAAACATTATTTATTTTATAGAGACATAAAACTTTTATGTATGTTATTATATTTTATACAAGCAATGATATTTTTTAATGCAAAAATTTATTCAGCCTAAAATAATACTAATAATGAAATAAATTACTGTATCTAATAATAATATAAAAAAAAAAGCATTGAATATACTAAATTAGCGTTTCTCAAACTGTGGGTCGCGAGAAGTAGTATTATATTATTATTATAAGTATATTATTACAATGATTATTATAAAGTAGTAAATAAGTAATAAAACAGTTTGTTTTTTGAAATTACTTTTTTGATTCTGTAAATTTAAAACTATGGGGATCGCGATAAATTTTTGGAAAAAAATTTGGGTTGCGGTCCTAAAAAGATTGAGAACCACTGTACTAAATGGTATAGGTTCATAGATTGTTTCCACTAAGAATCATTTTTCATATCCAATTATATATCATTGAATTCAAATTTAACATATTCATGGCCACAGTGACCTACTCAATACTTATTAGACCTACCTACTTGCCACCTTTTTAAACTTTTTTACCGCAATTTTAATTTGAAGAAGTACCACAAAATGACCATGCAAAAAAAAATGATCTTAATTGAATTATAATAATAACTTTTATATATAATAAATTATAATTATTTTCTAATTTGTATAATTTAAATATAACCTTATTAAATCCATAACAATACAGGACATGAATATATGATATATCAATGTAATTATAATAACTTTTAATAACTAATCATGTATTTTATAATTGTTTCAAGGTATTCATAGTAATGATGATGATATTAAAAACTTTAAATACACATGTATTATTATATAATAAAATTGGTATTAAATATAAATTATAATATAGATTAAGTACTAACACATTTTTAAACAAAAAGTATTAATAGTATTATATCATAATAGGTATGTTTTGAAATAACCAGCAGTAATAACACATAACTTGGGGAAAAAACCTTCAAAGATAAAGTACAAAATTGAACATTGAACTTAAAATCATATAAAAAATAATTACATACCTAAATTATATACTGTTTATTACTTATAAATTCTTACAAAAAATAGTTAGAATAATAAGAGTTAAATGCAATACTTACTAACTATTTAATTCTTATTATTTAGAAGAATTTTTAATCTTAATATTTTTAAAAAAAATCTGAGAAGGAACCTTGCTAGCCTCCTACTACAAACATAACTATTGGTGGGGGGTCTGTCTGTCAAACACTGGTCATTGTAGAGGTTCTAACAAAATATCATATAATATGACCTCTAAATTGTAAAAAGAAAACATAGCTAAATATTTTACTCATTAAAAAAAAAAAAAAAAATTATACATGATAAACTTACGAATACACTTTTTTTTTTAAAAATTGATTCAAATATATAAGTATGACTGACAATTTCATAGCAGTTATTTTACACATATAGGAGCTTATTTAAATGTTTAAGTATAATAAACAGCAACTACAAGTTTTTAAGATCAGTTATTTTAAAAAATGTAATATTATTTTTAAATGCAATTAACATTCAAGTAAATTACATGATTAAAAATATTTAAATTAATTAGTTTTTTATACTGGAAAGGTTACATAATTTTAAACCAAAGAAATTGTGTTAAAAACATATCGTACAGAGTATTAACGTTTACAGCTTATTCGTAGTATTATTTGATAAATAAATAAAATAAAGTTTTATTAGAAATGAGATTTTTTAAATACAATAAAACAACCTGCATGACCAATCAAGAAACAGAGGAAACCGGAGTTGGGAATTTAATAGAAACTCGAATAAATGCAATTTTTAATTCGGAATGTCATGGGTAGTTACCTGATTCTATGACTTTTTTCACCCTCTGACCCAGTTCCGAACCAGAGGCTACTTCGGAGCGCAACATATCTCCCGTGGACAAGTGACACGAGTAAAATTTCTGCAACAGTTTTGGTGCCTAAAAAGTGCAAAGTTAATATAAATAAAAATAAAAAAATTTAACGAAAATAAACAGAAACACCTGAGAATATATTTAAAAAAAAAATGATATCTACCTGCGTCCCCTTGCCCGAACCAGGTGGCCCGAGCAAAACTGCATTAATGCCGGGTAGTTTGACGTCTTCTTCGGGTAACGTTCTCGCGGTGGCCAGGGGCGGCATGGCGTATATCGGGATGACGGGTAACTCGAAGGCAAGCGAGCGGACCTTAAAGTCTGGTCGTTCGACGGCTGAGCGTATGCACAATCTCTAAGGGGACCAAGCCGACTTAATAACGGACGGACGAACGCACCGCAAGTCACGACCGCGTGATAGTGGCAAATGATGACGACAACTCGACAACATGCCGAGAAATGAGTACTGACAAGGTGATGTGTTGATATCACGTCTTGTTATCAATACACCTTGAATGACGACATGGTATTATTATTATTATTATTATTATTATTATTGTCGTGATGTAAAACCATACTCTATGTGTAGTAATACATACGATGTGTACGTTTCCAAATAACGAAGAACCATAATATTCTCCGAATGAGGTTAAACCGATCAGCCGTTTTCGGCGATAACAGCGGCTCTGATAACATGTAAAACAGTACTTATCAGTAATACAAAATACAACCATAGTACCAGTAGCAATTGCTACTACTACCTATGCGGGAATTTAAAATTTGAATACAGAGAGAGTGAATTATTGACCTATTGGCTATTATCAAGTTAAAATGTAACAGTATAATCTGTATTATTAAGTTTTCTTTTTCTTATATTTCAGCGAGTATGTAATATATTTCAGTTTAAAAATAATCACGACTCGCTTGAAAATTAAAATTTCGTAAAAAAACTGATATACAAACACAGAAAATATTCTTTCCTTTAAGTTGACAATGGGTCAATTCGCTCCAAAATGCTGGCAACACTTGCAGGTATTAAATTTTCTTCAAGACTCGAATAATAATTATTTATTTATTTATTTATTTACAAAAATAAATCCAATTTACAAGATATACAAAATGTACCTACAGTGTACAATTTGTACCTACATATACATGATTTTAATAATAGTAATAACATTTTTATTTTTAATAATAAGTACACATTTGACAATTATTCACGTTTTATATGATAAAACACGATATAATTGTAGGTATCCGATAATCTAAACTATTTCGTAGAGATTAAATTTTCAATCGTAGAACATGTTTAATATTTATAATAAAAATGATAGTTGAATCAGTATAGGTAGGTATACCCATATTAGATCAACTAAAAAGTATTAGGTACCTATGTCGTATAATTCTATAAATAAACATGATATTAATTTATTACCCAAACGGAAAATGGTATATGTATTTTATAATCAAATTAATACATCCAAAGGATATAGTATGCCTATACATACAATTATAGTCAATTTTAATAATACAGACTTAAACATAATATTAAAAAACAAAACTATTATATTAGGTATATTATAATATTACAGAATAATCTAATCAGCGTATGTCATAAAATGAATACCGACGTAACATCGGCCACTCGAATATATTATAAATAACTATAAGACAGGTGAATACCTATTTTAAAATGAGTAGACACAAAATATATCATACTTGAAAACAAAAATTCACATCATTCATATTAAAATATACTATATAGATAATTAATGTTCAATACATTATACAGTGTGCGAGTGTATCGTGTTAACATTTTTTTTTTTAATTTAGAAAAGTTTAAAATGCAAACTCAGTATGCCTTTTTTACCATTATTTTAAGCCGCTATAACTTGTACAATATAGATTGTAGGGATTTTAAAATATTCTTAAGCCCACGGAAGCAAATTTCAAAATTAATCCAATTCTTTAATAAAAAAAAAATATAAAAACATTAGTTAATTATTGTGTTCTTGATTAATATTAAATTATACATAGATATTAAACCTATTTCTACTTCTTTTGTTCATCTAATATAATTATGCATATAGGCACGCGCACAAGAGGTGCTGGGTGGTGCTACCCCCTCCAAAAATGTTGTTATTGGGGACTAAAATAAAAATCTCAAAATAAGGGGTTCATATTAAAACTAATGTTACTAAAATTAAATGTGAATTTTTTCTAAAATATTTTTAATTTATGAGGAAAAAATTATCATGATATAACAGCTTGATGTTGTATAAATGTACAAATCATAAATAAATATGAAACTATCTTAGAAATAGATACTAAATTCGAGGAAAAATATTATGAAAAAGGCCCAAAAATATTGTAGGCACTCCTGAAATGCATTCCTATAGCTCATTATTAAATATATATTTATAGAGTCATTACAAAAAATAACTAGTCATGATAACACTATACCAATCAATTTTATAAAAAACTTTATTATTATATAATGTGGTTTATATCCCTATTATAGCATATATAAACATATATACATTTTTATTATTTTATTAATATTAAATATGACATGCAGTATGAAATTGTTTTTTGATTATATTGTAATAGAATTTTTAAGGACTCAACAAGAAAAATAATAGGTTTTCCATAAAGTATAAAGTACCTCACTGTATGAGTACGTGAAGTTGCTCAATGTATTATAAACTTAAGAAATAATGCCGTTTTCAATGATCCTGTTGGTTGTTTTAGCTAGTTGTACTCATTTAATAAACGGAAATCAAAATATATCCTATAATAATTTTGCAAATTTAGTTTCTCAACTCGATTTAATTAATGTAAGTAATTAAAATACTAATTTATTGTTAGTTAATTTGTATTTTAAAATAAATTTTATTAGAGGCAATATTTTATTGAGTTTAGAAAGAAAAACCAGAAATCAAAGTGCTAAATTCTTTGGTTAATGAAATCATCAACAAGTATTTGAGCAGTTGTCATGTTAATATAATTTATGATGACTTATTTGATACTGATTTGTATTACAAGGTAATTATTACTATTAATAATTTTATTACATTAAGTTATTCTTATCCATTAAAAAAAGGAAATAATATTGTTTAAATGTTATTTATACAATGTTTAATTTATAATTTATAAAATAGATAACAGCTTAATTGAGTTTAGACTTATAAATTTATTATTAAAATGTAATTTCTTATTATACTTATATATTACAGTATTTGTATTAAAATTAGATTATTGTTACAATTTTACACAAATAATTCTAATTTTAAAAATTTGGATAACTAATAAATTATGATGAACTATAATGATGGACTATAATAAATATTATATAGTATTATGTGTATTGCAATTTATTTTTGTTGTGTTTGCTAAGAGTTATTTTAATTTAATTTTTACATTACAAATATATTAACAAACTATTAACTATAAATTTAAAAAAACAAATATAAACAAATTAACTGTACCAGGTGATTTATTTACTAAACAATACTGATTATTTAAAAGTTAATTAAAGTTTTTGAAACATTTTATTACTTAATTTGTAGTTAAATTAAACAACATTTTTTTATTGTTTTAAATTTAAATTTTTTACTTTAAAAAATTGTTATTTTTATTTATTAATTATTCATGTATATCGTATATGTGTATGTGTGTATTATATTTTAAATATAATATACTAGATTAATTGTGTACTATGAAGTAAAAAATATTAATGTAGCTTAGATTTTATTTTATAGAAGGAGGCCTAAAGTGATGATCATTTTTTTTTAAACCTTTTGTATGTATTATATAGTACATTATTCATTAATCATTACTCATAACTTTAACAAAATTGTCTTTAGTCATTACTCATTACCTACCTATTCGTATTATGGTCAGTATGTATACTTAGCCCAGTGTATAGATATAGATGTATTACTACTATTAAAATAGAAACAAATTATTATAATGATCAATTACCTAATAATAATGATGAGCAAACGCTAAAAATATTAATATATTATATTATAATGTATTGAATAAATTATGTAGTAGATACCTAACTAGTTACTAATATAATATTATATCAACTATCGCACATAAATATTATGATGTAACACTAATGTTGTTCATTTTACATTTATAATTTTATGCAGATGTAGCATATAGAAAAGGTAGAGGTTTATCATAACATTTCATAACTAGGTATTCATATTATATCATAATCTATGAAATTAAAAATTTTTCTAAAAAATCAAGAACTAGTAAATATTTACCTACATAATATTATTTATAAATGACTCATATAATATAAACATATCGTAATAGTACGATATAGTAAACTACTGCAGTTCATATTTATAAACAAGTAGGTATTATATAATGGTAATACACTAATACATACTATAACTTCCAAGTTCAAATATTAATATTCTATTCGACCGAATACCCGATGACCCCATTTTTCTTACATTGTCAGTTATTCTTTGTGATAACGAATATGATACAAATATGTCGATAAGTTCATTATTGCACAATATTTATATTATTTGAATTTTTATAAAATGAAATATCGTGTATGTAATTGTATGTAATCGTGTAAAATACAATTTACTTATTCGTGTATACACACTTAGGGTCGGATTTAGACTTTCAGATGCTCAGGGCAAATCTTTTTATGAGGCCCCTAGCAGAAAAAAAATTAAAAAGACCCAATATCTATAAGTAATTAAGGAAAAAAGTGAAAAATATGCAAATTTGTAGTACTTGCACGTTATAATTATCTACCGACTTAAAACGTAATTTTGAAAGTTTGAAATACTGCTGTAGTGCTGACTGCTATTCATGTATCATAAATTTCAAAATTAATTTAAAGATAGCAATATTAAATAATTTTATTAAACCTTCATAATTTGAAGAATAAAAATAAGTATATTAATCTCATTACTAGTCATCGTAACATTTTATTTACCTATTAAAATTTTGAAATTCAACCTCCACAGTTCACACTATTATCTTCTGTATACATTAAACATTAAGCTGACTGACTAATCTATCAACGCATAGCTCAAATCATTGGACGGATCGGGATGAAATTTGACATATAGATAGCTATTATGACTTAATCATTTACTAAGAAAGGATTTTTAAAAATTTAACCATTAATGAGGTTAAAATGGGTAAAAATTGAAAACGTTTTTTGTTTTTTTTTTTTTTTTTAATTAAGTATGCATACTTTTTAACTCAAATAAACATTGTCTATAAATTTTATTTTATGAAATGCAACTCCTAATGGATGTTAAAATAGAAAAAACCACCTAGCCGAAACCACTGAATTAGAGTATGAAATTCGGTCAGTATTTTTGTTTCATTACGTAGATATCTACTAAGAAAGGTTGTTTAAAACTAAAATTAATTAAGTAAATTAAGGATACTTCCTAATTCCGATTTTAATGTTTATATATATATTCGTTG